CGTAAGTTCCCAATTTTAAGAGAATTCCCGCTAAGATAACAAATCCATCGGTGGGTGCTCCTACACGAGCTTCAGGTAACCAAATATGAACTAGTACCATAGGTACTTTCACTGCAAAAGATGCAAAAAAAGCAATCCATAGCAATATTTGACGAGAAGAAGAAGAAGAAGAAGAAAAAGAAGAAGAAAAAGAAGAAGAAGAGGGGCGGAGGCAATACCTGCGTCAACCGTACTTAACTGGGCGCCATAGCCGTGCTCCACACTGGGGACTTGTACAACAACAACAACAACAACAACACATACCTGCGTCAGCGGTTCTTAACTGGGCGCCATAGCCTTGCTCCACACTGGCGACCTGAACAACGACAACAACCACAAGAAGAGAAGAAGAAGAAGAAGAAGAAGAAGAAGAGGGGTGGAGGTTATACCTGCGTCAGCGGTACTTAACTGGACGCCATAGCCGTGCTCCAACCTGCGTCAGCGGTACTTAAGTGGGCGAGAAAGCCGTGCTCCACACTGGCGACCTGCACAACAATAACACATCCCTGCGTTAGCGACACTTAACTGGGCGCCATAGCCGTGCTCCACACGGTCGACCTGCACAACAACAACAACAACAGCAACAACCACAACAACAACCAGAACCACAACCGCCTGGGCGCCATAGCCGTGCTCCACGCTGTCGACCTGCACAACAACAACAACAACAACAACAACCACAAGAAGAAGAAGAAGAAGAAGAAGAAGAAGAGGGGAGGAGGCCATACATGCGTCACTTACCTGGGCGCCATAGCCGTGATACACGCTGTCGACCTGCACAACAAGAACAACAACAACAACAACAACAACAACAACCACAACAACAACCACAACAACTACCAGAACCACAACCACCTGGGTGCCATAGCCGTGCTCCACGCTGTCGACCTGCACAACAACAACAAGAACAACAACAACAACAACCACAACAAGAACCAGACAAAGAAGAAGAAGAAGAAGAAGAAGAAGAAGAAAGAAGAAGCAGAAGAAGAAGAAGAAGAAGAATAAGAAGAAGAAGACGAAGAACAAGAAGAAGAGGGGTGGAGGCCATACCTGCATCACTTACCTGGGCGCCATAGTTGTGATCCACGCTGTCGACCCGCACAACAACAACAACAACAACAACAACAACAACAGCAACAACCACAACAACAATAAAAGGACCTTTACCAGATAAAGGGCCTCGGGCCTTAAAAAGTAAGACAGCATGGGCCTTGGAAAAGTAAAGCATTGTGAAAAGGTATCTCGTCAGGGCTCAGAAATGTGAAGGCAGGTCAAAGGTCAAATTCTCTATCAACAGGCACATCTAAATCTAAGGCAAAGGGCATTGTCAAAGGACTTACCTGTTCACCAGGAGATGTATATGTCATGTCTGTTCAGATAAGAGTGTGTCTGTACGTGCAGGCAATGTACCTGTTCGTGCAAAGGAAAGTGTCTGTTGAAGCAGTAAATGTGTCTGTTCGTTAAGAGTTGTGCCTGTCCGAAAGTAAAGTCCATAGGCACAGTCCCAGTTCTGGTCTAAGTCAAGGGGTCAGTCCAGATCCAGACTTTCAAGTCCAAATACAGGCCGAGAGGCCGCAACAACAATTGAACTTCATTGGGACTCTCCTGGGACACATGCAATCCAGGGTCTGGGACAAAGGAAAGGCCGAATTGAGCCAATGCAGACCCAGCGAGGAGTGTATTCATATTTCTGATAAAATAAGTTGTGGAACTCGGTCTTCTTCTCATCTACCTTTGTCTATGAATGGAGACTATTGATCATTGTGTGTGAGAGTGATGCATGACATGTACACACTTGCGTGAGATGGTCCCCAGGACCCATGCNTACCTTTGTCTATGAATGGAGACTATTGATCATTGTGTGTGAGAGTGATGCATGACATGTACACACTTGCGTGAGATGGTCCCCAGGACCCATGCAACAACCAGAACCACAACCACCTGAAGAAGAAGAAGAAGACGACAAAGAAGACAAAGACGAAGAAGAAGAAGAAGAAGAAGAAGAAGAAGAAGAAGAAAGCTATATGACCTACAATTTTTATAGCGTAGCCTCCATTTACTGAATTCAAAAAAAAAACTTTTACGCGATTATTGTCACTTCGCCATATTTGTGTTAATTCAGTCCAAACTAGTTTATTTTTGCATATCGTTTTTATTTGTTTAGGCAAAATCATTTTTGGTTCATCAAACACTTCTACATTTTCTACTCCAAAATTTAATTCATCTCCAGAAAATCTTAAAAAACCGTAAGTTCCCAATTTTAAGAGAATTCCCGCTAAGATAACAGATTCATCTGTGGGTGCGTCTACACGAGCTTCAGGTAACCAAATATAAACTGGTACCATAGGTACTTTCACTGCAAAAGATGCAAAAAAAGCAATCCATAGCAATATTTGACGAGAAGAAGAAGAAGAAGAAGAAGAAGACGAAGAAAAAAAAGAAGAAGAGGGGCGGCGACAATACCTGCCTCAGCCGTACTTAACTTGGCGCCATAGTCGTGCTCCACACTGGCGACCTGTACATCAACAACATATACCTGCGTCAACGGTACTTAACTGGGCGCCATAGCCTTGCTCCACACTGGCGACCTACACAACGATAACAACAACCACAAGAAGAGAACAAGAAGAAGAAGAAGAAGAAGAAGAGGGGCGGAGGCCATACCTGCGTCAGTGGTACTTAACTGGGCGCCATAGCCGTTCTCCAACCTGCGTTAGCGGTACTTAACTGGGCGCCAAAGTCGTACTCCACACAGGCGACCTGCACAACAACAACACATCCATGCCTCAGCGGTACTTAACTGGGCGCCATAGCCGTGCTCGACACTTTTTACCTGCACATTAACAACAACAGCAGCAGCAACCACAACAACAACTAGAACCACAACCACCTGGGCGCCATAGCCGTGCTCCACGTTGTCGACCTGCACAACAACAACAACAAAAACCCGAACCACAACCACAAGAACAAGAAGAAGAAGAAGAAGAAGAAGAAGAAAAAGAAGAAAAAGAAGAAGAAGAAGAAGAAGAAGAAGAGGCGAGGAGGCCATACCTGAGTCACTTACATGGGCGCCATAGCCGTGATCCACGCTGTCGACCTGCAGAACAAGAACAACAACAACAACAACCAGAACCACAACCACCTGGGCGCCATAGCCGTGCTCCACGCTGTCGACCTGCACAACAATAACAAGAACTACAACAACAACAACCAGACGAAGAAGAAGAAGAAGAAGAAGAGGGGCGGATGCCATACCTGCATCACTTACCTGGGCGCCATAGCCGTGATCCACACCGTCGACATGCACAACAACAACAACAACAACAACAACAACAACAACAACAACAACAACAACAACAACAACAACAGCAACAACCACAACAACAACCAGAACCACAACCACCGGAAGAAGAAGACGAAGAAGACGAAGAAGACGAAGAAGAAGAAGAAGAAAGCTATATGACCTGCAATTTTTACAGCGTAGCCTCCATTTACTAAATTCAAAAAAAAACTTTTACGTGATTATTGTCACTTCGCCATATTTGTGTTAATTCAGTCCAAACTAGTTTATTTTTGCATATCCTTTTTATTTGTTTNAACTAGTTTATTTTTGCATATCCTTTTTATTTGTTTAGGCAAAATCATTTTTGGTTCACCAAACACTTCTACATTTTCTACTCCAAAATTGAATTTATCTCATGAAAATCTTGAAAAATCGTAAGTTCCGAATTTTAAGAGAATTCCCACTCAGATAAAAGATCCATCGTTAGGTGCTTCTACACGAGCTTCAGGTAACCAAATATGAACTGGTACCATAGGTACTTTCACTGCAAAAGATGCAAAAAAAGCAATCCATAGCAATATTTAACGAGAAGAAGAAGAAGAAAAACAAGAAGAAAAAGAAGAAGAAGAGGGGCGGAGGCAATACCTGCGTCAGTTGTACTTCATGCGCTCCATAGCCGTGCTGCACACTGGAGACATGTACAACAACAACAACAACACATACCTGCGTCAGCGGTACTTAACTGGGCGCCATAGCCTTGCTCCACACTGGCGACCTGAACAATGAGAACAACAACCACAAGAAGAGAAGAAGAAGAAGAAGAAGTGGGGCGGAGGCCATACCTGCGTCAGCGGTACTTCACTGGGCGCCATAGCCGTGCTCCAACCTGCGTCAGCGGTACTTAATTGGGCACCAAAGCCGTGCTCCACACTGGCGACCTGCACAACAACAACACATCCCTGCGTCAGCGGTACTTAACTGGGCGCCATAGCCGTGCTCCACACTGTCGACCTTCACAACAACAACAACAACAGCAACAACCACAACAACAACCTGCACCACAACCACTTGGGCGCCATAGCCGTGCTCCACGCTGTCGACCTGCACAACAACAACAACAAAAACCCGAACCACAACCATAAGAAGAAGAAGAAGAACAAAAAAAAGAAGAAGAAGAAGAAGAAGAAGACGGGAGGAGGCCATACCTGCGTCACTTACCTGGGCGCCATAGCCGTGATCCACGCTGTCGACCTGCACAACAACAAYMACAACAACAACAGCAACAACCACAATAACAACCAGAACCACAACCACCTGCTGAAAAAGAAGAAGAAGAAGAAAGTTATATGACCTGCAATTTTTACAGCATAGCCTCCATTTACTGAATTCAAAAAAAAAACTTTTACGCGATTATCGGCACTTCGCCATATTTGTGTTAATTCAGTCCAAACTAGTTTATTTATGCATATCCTTTTTATTTGTTTAGACAAATCCATTTTTGGTTCACTAAACACTTCTACATTTTCTACTCCAAAATTGAATTCATCTCCAGAAAATCTTAAAAAACCGTAAGTTTTCAATTTTAAGAGAATTCCCGCTAAGATAACAGATCCATCGGTGGGTGCTTGTACACGAGCTTCAGGTAACCAAATATGAACTGGTACCATAGATACTTTCACTGCAAAAGATGCAAAAAAAGCAATCCATAGCAATATATGACGAGAAGACGAAGAAGAAGAAGAAGAAGAAGATGAAGAAGAAAAAGAAGAAGAAGAAAAAGAAGAAGAGGGGCGGAGGCAATACCTGCGTCAGCCGTACTTAACTGGGCGCCATAACCGTGCTCTACACTGGCGACCTGTATAACAACAACAACAACAACAACAACAACAACACATATCTGCGTTTGCGGTACTTAACTGGGCGCCATAGCCTTGCTCCACACCGGCGACCCGAACAACGACAACAACAACAACAACAAGTGAAGAAGAAGAAGAAAAACAAAAAGAAGAAGAGGGGCGGAGGTAATACCTTCGTCAATGGTACTTAACTGGGCGCCATAGTCGTGCTCCAACCTGCGTCAGCGGTACTTAACTGGGCGCCAAAGTCGTGCTTCACACTGGCGACCTTCACAAC